TCTTCTAATCTGATCCACTGGTCCTCAGGTCTGTTTCTTTGCCAGTACCATGCTGTTTTTATCACAGTAGCTTTGTAGTATAGGTTCAAGTTGGGGGTTGTAATACCCCCTGCCATGTCTCAGTTACCTAGTATAGCTTTTGCTATTCTGGATCTCCCCTTGTTCCAAATGAATTTTTGGATTGTTTTCTCAAGGTCTATGAAGCATGCTGCTGGGATTTCAATTGGGATTGTATTGAATCTACGTAGCAATTTTGGAAGTATAGCCATTTTCACTATGTTGATCCTACCTACCCAGGAGCAAGGAATGTCTTTCCATTTTCTGATATCTCCTTCAATATATTTTTTCAAAGTGCTATAATTGTCAGAGAAGAGGTCTTTGATTTTTTTTTGTTAGGTTGATTCTTAGGTGTTTCAGTTTTTTGGATGCTGTTGTGAAAGGAATTATTTGCCTATTTCTCTCTCAGCGACTCTGTTGTTCGTGTAGAGGAAAGCTATTGATTTTTCTGTGTTGACTTTGTAATCAGCTACTTGACTGAATTTGGTTATTAAGTCTAGAAGACTTTTGATGGAGTTCTAGGGGTCTTCTATGTAGAGTATCATGTCATCTTCAAATAATGACAATTTGACTTCTTCATTTCCTATCTTTATTACTTTTATTTCTTTCTCTTCTCTAATTGCTGTGGCTAATGTTTCCAAAATTATGTTGAACAGGAGTGCTGACAATGGACATCCTTGTCTTGTTCCTGATTTTAGTGTGAAGGGTAACACTTTTTGACCATTTAGTATGATATTGGCTGTTGGTTTTTCATAGATGGCTTTTATCAGATTGAGATAGAGACCATCTACTCTCATTTTTTGTAGGGTTTTTACCATAAATGCGTGTTGGATATTGTCAAATGCTTTTTCTGCATCTACTGAGATGATCATATGGTTTTGTCCCTGGCTCTATTGATATAGTATATGACATTGATTGATTTGCATATGTTGAACCATCCCTGCATCTCTGGGATGAATCCCACTTGGTCAGGGTGTATGATTTTCTTGATGATCTTCTGCATTCTGTTTGCCA